CTTCATCCTACGACCTGAGCTGACAACGACAGAAATGGGGAAGAGACACCGGTTTTGTGAAGTGACTACATCGAGTGATGCGTTAACGGCCAGTAGACAGCATCACACTCTGCGGTTACATTCTTCGGAAGCTAGTGAACTGACTGCATAAATACTGTGGAAATTTTCACCAGACGGAGCTGATCACAATCAGTCTACTCCATCACTTCTCTTCGTATCAGAATTACTTTTCACCAGTGGGGATCTTATTCAGAATGTAGGCGAGAACTGCAAATTATGGAGTTGTCGGAGTCCAAAAGTATCCAGGTGACAATATGTGACCTACTTGACAGCGAAAATCATCGCGTCTAAAAGCTAAGGCGAACCAAGCCAAACTGCACACTGGTACACACTGTTGAGAACCGAATCGGTCCTCTTGCCATAGTTAATCCGTCTCACTAATGATAAGTTATGCCTCAAGGTGGCGAAATGCTCGGCCTCGATATAGATAGCCAGCTGTAAACTCCGGAGCTCAGTCTGTTGTCAAGAGGGACTGCTAGCTGCATGCAACTGCATTCATATTAGTGTTCATAATGAAACCTCATCAGAGGACAAAGATGACACAATATTCCCAGTTCTCTTCAACTCGTTATGGTGAGTTACTATGATGGAATTGAACTTGTCACTTCATATGAGTGTTTCTTAATTCTAACTGGTTATTTTCTGATGATGAAGGAATTACCAGTGTACTTACTCCATTGTCTTTTCATGTAGATGAGAGATGTGGCGAGGTATCACTTCGGACCGACTATAAATCAGACCTTTCTGAGATACTTCGTGATGAAAATGCTGTTGATTTGGAGAGAAGACTAATCACACGTTGTGCAACCTCAACAATTGGAAAACCATGTCTCTCTGGTACCCAAACGCTCAGGCATCAACAATCGAAGGAGGAGAATGGTGACCATGGGAGCGCTCCAGTTATGAGCGATTGCAATTACTGTAGTCTTGAGACTGCAGTTATCAAACCAGAGAATCATTCTGTTGGCGTGGAAGTAGGTCGAACAGCTTCACCTCGGAGTGAGGGTGGACCAACAATTCGATACAATTCTGGCGACAAGTACGACTGGAATGCAATGAATGCAGAAGCACATGTGATTTCTCCCCGGGTGTTCCAGACACTGGACGATCACAGAGCAGTGGAAGTGGCTTCGAAAGGTGATTTGAGGTTAATATTGCTTGGTTGGTTGGCTTGTTGTTTGGTTGGTGGCTTCTAATATGTATTTATCATTCATTATCTGTTGGCTTATAAGGATGCGAGAATGACAGAGAGAAAGAGTGAGGGAGACAGAGAGAGAGAGAGAGTAAATCACTTAACTCTTAGTAAACGTACTAATTATTCCTTGTAGTATACCTTTCTTCACTATGCTTCTCGGCGTATAACTTGGAATGTATGTAGGTGAAGGGAAGGAAGGAAGGAAGGAAGTAGGTATTTAATGCTATTGGTTATCATTATAATTTACAGTCTGAAGAAACACACTTAATACTGGAGCCGGCTTATCTGAGTGGTCGGCTTCTAATCGTTCCCTTGTGTATCACAGATTCTGATCAACCATACTCAGTCTCAGTAGGCAGTCAGTATTGGCTTAACGCATGCCTCATTTTTCGTGACTACTTGAGTTCCGATTGGGGCGTCGGGCTACAAGCTTTGAGATTTGAAGTTTGAGGAGAGTCAGTGGTGTGATTTCGCGCGATGAGGTTACTAGCCTAACGCACAACCTCCCTTCATTCCCAGACTGACTGGCGGCCATTGAATCACGCGTGGCTTACAAGTACGTCAGCTGAGAATATTTCTGCTGAAATCTTCTCTCAAATACATGACATATACTTGCTGAAAACAACTCCCATGACAGACACTTAGTTGACCGGCATAGAGGGAACAAGATTATTGAGAATTCAGCAAATGCTTCGCGTAACCGGAGAACCACTGCACCGCAAAATCCTTCGTCATCATCTGGATATGATGAGATGGTCAGTGTGATGACAAATTTGAGTCCTGATGAAGTCAAGACGACTACTACTACTACTACTACTAATGAAGCATACGAATAGTCAGATTAAATAAAATAGTCATGGTTATACCACTGACTCCAGTGGATGAGACCAATCAATATGTTTGGGTAACATCGAGAATGCGACGACGACGACGACGACTTGATGTTTTCCTCCTCCACTATGTCAGTAGGGCAGTCAACAGATGTCACGAGATCACATGATCTATTTTGAAGTCAATGTGAGGAGAAGCCGGTGTTCATCGTGTGACTGACTGACAAATAATAATTTAACCCAATTAGTTGAAGTTATGTACAGTGACAGACAGACATATTGATGGTGTGCGTCGGTGGCACAGTGGATAGGACTCTCGCCTACCATACACATGGTCCGGGGTTCGATCCCATGCCGACGCACATCCGATATCTATGGTCTGCAAAATTTGGGCTACCGATATCACATGCTGAAAATTCTATACTTGTACTGATAATACAGTGTGGCATCAAGCTGTAATCTAAATCAAAATCATCATCATCGTGAGAAAGTTGTGTTTTCTAATGAAGGTTGTGTGCTTCCCTACTAATAATTTGTTAATTAAACATATCACACACACACACACACTCACGAACACACAGTGAAAGAGTATTATTTCTTATCTACTGGATGACGACGACGTACCTAACACGATTTATTCTTGTTTTTAATCCTTGTAATTATGCCATCTGATTGATAGTAATTTAATGTAATTTTAAGCAGCAGCAGCAGCAGGCTGTGCTCAGCTTGACGTTGTGGTACAGAGTCTATCATTCAATTAGTCGAAGTATCATCATCATCATCATCATCATCAAAATTCTCGAGAAGTGAACCGAGTTCATCTTCCGAAGTGATGTCATTCAGCTTTTTTGTTTAAGTCGAATCTAGCTAGGCGTTGTGAATTTGACAAATGCTTATCTTCTCTCTCTCTCTTTCTCCTCTCTCTTCATTACAATGTTGTGACAGTGTACATAGTGCTATTTTTTATCATCTTGAATCCATAAACCACTGGACTGTGTTGACTGACGTGTATCTAGGTGACAGTTAAGTGACGTAGACTGAAGACTGAACGTGAACGACATGTTGCTGGCCGATTGAAGTGCATTCGAATGAAATGAAGATATCCGAATACTAGTTCACACTCATGATCCTATGACGTCTTTGAAATGATGACTCAGCAACATGTCGTTGGCTTAGCGTAATCAGTCAGGTTGGACTACGATTAGTGAACTAGTATTTGGGCAATTTGTTCTCCTTTCAGGACAACAAGGAAAGCTATCCTCACACCAGTTTGGGAGATTTGTAAATTCTCGATAATCAATAGGGAGAGACTTTATCGTGTCTCATCTAGCTTGTGCTTACGCCACAATGCACACAGTCACATGACTGACAATTGAAGAATGGCTCAAAAGGTGTAGAGTGTGAGACAAACACATGCACACACTGAGTCACACACACACACACATTGAAAGGAAAGAACTTTCCTGTTAAAGGACGACAATAATTTTGCTTATTTCTCACACATCACAAATACAGCGTATTATAAACCCAGAACATCTGGAAATTTATAATGTGTATTATATTCGTTGATCGATTCAAAAAAATGTCCATTGAAAAGATTTCCCTTCTCTAGCCACTACTTGATGACTCATTCTTTTATAAATATGATACTAAATGAATGTAAGAATGTGTAGAAAGTCAGCTGCCCTACTCACTCTTAATTTATATTTGTTATCATCAAAGATGTTGTATTTGTTGAAAAGTGTACTGTATTTTTCTACTCTACTCTACTCTACTCTACTCTACTTACTTACTATACTATACTATACTATACTGTACTCTACTCTACTGTATAACACCGACGAGGGATACTTTTGAAGAGTCAGTGTTTAAGGTCTAGATTTGTTTGATGTTTGATGACGGATTGATTCAGGTGAGTTAGAGAAGGATTGAAAAGCGGCAGCAGCAGCAGCAGCAGGGAGGATTGGACAAATGGTTCGTGCTAGTTGGGGAGATGCTCTTCATCAGTACGCACCCACCCACTCACTCACTAGAGGCTTGGAAGCAACTGTCTTCAATTTCCAACACCTTCTCAGAGTCATTGAGTGACCTAGAAAGACATCAAAGTTAACATTGAAATCAGAGAGAAGAATAGAAAGGAAAGAGTAGATGAGGGTTGAAAAGTGGCGTTTTGGAATTCCGTAGTATGTAATGGACTGTGCGTGTGCGTGTGTGTTATTTTATTATAGTTAGTTACCTTTTCGATAAATATTATTAGAGGACTTTGAAGAATAGACCTGAGAGAGAGCGAGAGAGAGAGCGAGTGAGGAAACTGGTGCATTTCTACATTGTCACGTTAGATGATCATCAGTCGAATACCTTCTACAGTGATGATGATGATGACGATAGTAACAATAATAATAATAATAATTTAAGGGTGTTGTTATTCAAATGGGTCGGTGAGATGATCATTTTCTCAATACTGTTTTCTGCATCACTGTTCAAATATCATCAGTGTTGTCTAACTATGAAGAATGGTACTGATGCCTTCTAAAATGAATGTCCTGTTTCACAATTCATTTTTATTATTATTATTATTAATGTTGTTATTCCCTTGGATTCATCTTGGTGGAACATAGGACTTCAGGTAACTCACATCTTAATTTCACTCTCTTCTATACCACAGTGGTTTTCAGCTCTCTTCACGATTCCGCATTAGCTCTTTTATTATTATTATTATTATTATTATTATTATTGGTATGATTCATCCATCCATTCATTGATCCATTGAAGTCATCCCTTACCCACAGCTAACTCATACACTTTCATCTCTATCCAATAAATTTAGCAGATTCTAATAACAAGGAAAATGTGTCTACATACAAACAAGAAGAAGAGGAGGAGGAGGAGGAGAAAGGAATAATATCAGAGAGGAGATGATCACATCAAGTCGATCTGTAAGTGACATGAAGATAGAGAATTCTGACGATGTTGAAAGAGCAATCGGTGATATGTGTAGTCATAGATCTACTGTCTATGATAATAATACTTCCAACTTGCTGTTTAAACAAGAAGACAGAACAGCAGAAGACGCTCATGATGAAAATGCGTGCCAGACAAGTCGGCTTGTTAATGTGAATGAAACTGAAGAGATAATGACACAAAATAACTGGCCAAATGATACAGCAGGCATCACTGCCAATCACCTTACTCTCCATCAGAGCGTTGCAAATTCTAATACTCTCACTAATAGTGAGGATAATGCAATGAACCCAACAGGGAATTCTGTGAAAATTCAAAATAGAAAAAGGTATAAATGTGAATACTGCGGTGAAATGCGGAGTAATATCACTGTGCATCGAAGAATACACACAGGTGAAAAGCCGTATCGTTGTAATATATGCCAGTATGCCAGCACTAACTCATGGAATCTTAAAAGACATTTGAAAGTACACGACAAAAAGCTACAACAACAACAACAACGGTGACAGCGGCAGCAGCATCAACAGACCTGCAAATCCACTTCAAGTATTTCTCTCTCTCTCTCTGTGTGTGTGTGTGTAATCAGTTCCTTGATGAAAGACAATTTTCTTGTGTAAATAAAAATATTTTTATTATTGATATGTATGAATCCAGTTTGGTATGATGCAGCCTGGTTGCGTTGAAGCTACTGAAATGAGTAAATATTTAATTTGAACCATATACGTGTGAGAAGGAAATCACATTTTACAATAAATCACACTTTACATGAGATAGAGGAGAGAGAGAAAGAGAGATAGAGGCAGGCAGGGAGGCTTGATTTCACTTTACCAATCTATTTTCAAGTATTACAATTTTTAGTTTAAGTTACCATCAATTTATATGCTATCAAAATATGAAAAAAGGGAGGAGGTGAGAGAAGACAGAAAAATCTAATAATCAGTGTTAGCTTGTACGTCAACATGGCAACTCAAGAAGGTTAAGATTCATCAAATTGAAAACTTGATTAGTGAGCTGAGCTCACTAGTGTGTATGACTAATCAGTGTAATGAAAGTAATCCCGTTCTCAATGGAGTGAGAGATTGACTACACTCTGTTTCTGTGTGCATAAGTTTGCTCTGAGACGTTTGATTGCAATTGCTTCAGCGGTAAATCGTAGTAGATTCGCTGTCCTTTGTATGTTGAATATTCTTAGGGATTTGGAAATCTCGACAAAATGACCCGTATCCACAATAATAATAATAATAATAATAATAATAATAGTAATAGCTTTATTCCAAACAGTATTTGTGGTACAGGTATGGAATTTTCAGCGTGCATTACAATATTGCATCTAATTACCTCATAAATTTTACAAGATTTTAAAATCAAAAAGCAACAACCGAAAGATAAATAAATAAATAAAAAAGAACGGTGTTGCGTTTACATATTTAAACAATGCACCACAGGATATGAAATACAAAATTAGTGTGTAATAGAAGATGTGAACAACAATATAATAGTAAGGAAGAAAGGAAAACAAAAACGAATGGGACTAATTGTTAGAGTTCCGCAGTAAGTTGATCGTGTCATGCCTAACGGATTTCTCTTCACATAACAGCTGTGCCAGATAAGGTATTGTGCAGTTTTGTACTTGATAGTCCTAGCACATAGCCTCCTATAGCTGCTTCTAGTTCTACCAGATGAAAGGCGAGGAGAGAGCTGCGTATATAGAGGATGCTCAGGGTCTGACAATATAGTATTCGCTAGTTTCTTACATGACATTATATGTCTATGCACACTAGTATTAACCAGTTGGTTTAACGATATCCCACTTGCCCTACTAACCGCTTTCAGTGCCATATAAGTATAAAACTTAGGCACTGTGGTAGAGTATAACTGCATTATGGATAAGATTTTATTTTGATAAATCACACAGTGTTGTACATAATGGGGCTTTTAGTGCCCTTCTCAGCAACGCAAAGTCTTTCTTAAGTAGTCCACGAAACATTTATAGGGAGCAGTAAAGAGGGATGGGTAGAATACGAGAATTGACAAACTGAGGAAGCAAAGACTGCTTTATACCAGACCGCCTTAACTTCCTAAAGTAGAACGTTAAGCGAAACATCTTTCTAGTAACTAGCAAGATGTGAGAGGACCAGGAAAGATCGGAGGAAATGCTCAGTCCAAGGTACTTGACATTAGATGTAATTTCAACCTCTATGCCGTCAATGATAGTGGGGCCTTGTGAGCTAGCTAGTTGTTGTAAGTCACGTTTTCGTCTGAAAGTGAAATTGACTACCTGACATTTAGACAGATTTAGCTTAAGACCGTTTGAAGAAGACCACTGACTAATTTCCGACAGAAAGTTATTTAATTTGGAACAATCTGACTGAGAGTTGACAGGCATTAAAACAGATAGGTCATCAGCATACTTGACAAAAGTGGCTACATCAGACTGGGGCAAGTCATGTAAGAAAAAAGAAAACAGAAAAGGAGAAAGAACAGCACCTTGATGAACACCAGCTAAAGTAATTGAGGTAGTGGAGGACTTTCCATTATAGACGGTGTACTGCTTCCTATAAGAAAAATAGGAATGCAACCACTTATTTGTCCAGCTCTCAGCCTGTGTTGCAGCAAGCTTACTTAGCAAGAGAGACCTAGGAACAGAGTCAAATGCAGATGTGTAATCAAGGAAGGCACACCGAACGTATTTAGCTCCTCTATCTAAACTAGAGACTGTATTATGATATAAGACAATAGCGGCATCTAAGGTGCACCTACTATGTTTATAAGCGAACTGGTTCGGGTCGTCGAAAGGCTTTAAAGAGGGTTCAAGATTAAGTAAAATAAGTCTTTCCATATCGTTCAAAGAAGGTGAGGTAATAGCAATGGGTCTAAACTTGACAGTAGGTCCACTTATTGATTTAGGCACTGGAACAATCTTGATATTTTTCCATGAGTCAGGTGTAATACTTTTGGAAAAAGATTCGTTGAAAATGTCGGTTAATGGGGAACATAAGATGTCAGCACACTTCTTAAGGATAACAGCAGGAACACCATCAGGACCAAGGGACTGAGTAGGTTTGAGAGATTGAAGACACTTAAGGACATCATTCGTATTAAAGCATGAGAAACAGTCATTATTTTCACTATTGGAGTTAGGTATCCTAACATCTGCAGGGATACATATGAAGGATTTATTGAGCATATCAACATCGACAGAAGTATCATTCATTATTTGCTTACCACCTGTGATTTCCTTTAATAATTTCCACATATTAGATGAGGATTTACATGAAAGAAACTTCTGGTTATAGAGAGCATCTAGTCTTTGTAATTCGGCTTTAATCAAAGTGTTCATTCTCTTAACACCAGATTTATTTTTCATTTTGTACAACCTCTCTTTTTCACGTCGAAGCTTTTGGAGTTGAGAAGAGGAGAAGCGGTCGAATCTTAAGAAGATTGTCTCTTTCGGACAACAAGCATCAAGACAGAAATTAAGATAATGTGTTATGTTAGTGATTGTGTTATCAAGAGCTTTTTCAGTAAACAAGTCCCAGTTTGTGTCTTTTAACATGGGCCTTAGATTCTGTATGTTGTCATGAGAATAACATCTGTGCTGCGTTTTCTTTCCAAGGTATGAGAAGACCCTCTTGTGCTGCTTTCCATATACTTTGGGCAATATTCTTATGATACAGTGATCAGAATTAAGTAGTGGAGCTCTCTTTCGAGCTCCAAATATTCCTGTGTCATTTGTAAACACGAGATCAAGAGTATTATCCAGTCGAGTCGGGAAGTTGACAATGTTTTCATGTCCAAGTGAAATAAGGAAGCTGTGGTCACTAGAATTAAAGTCTCCAGTAACTATAGACAAGGAGTTTCTGAAGGAGGTGGCATCAAGGGAGGTAAATTCATCCGCAAATAAAGACAATTCTGTGGAATTGCATCCAGGAGCAATATAAATGTTCGAGTTGTATATGTAGTTATATTTTGACAAATGTTTAGGTCGACAGTTAACGGTGAGGCAGTCAGTATTGTCACTAGAGAATTTGAAACATACATTATTAGATGTACACCATTGTGAATTGATGAAGATGGCGACACCGCCACCACGTTTCTTCCTGGAACTACACCGATCTTGTCTGAATAATTTGAAATCATTTAGATACACTAGTTTGTCATCATATAGGTCATGTGGCCATGTTTCTTGAAGTAATACTGGGGTATTACGATATATAATGGAAGACATGACTGATTGAAGACAGTTAATTTTAGCTGGCAGGGAGTAACAATTAGTACTCATAATCGCTGGAACAGTCATAAATTGAATGTGGGTATTTTTTAAGGCTCTTTGCCACCCGGCTTGATGATTTCTTTTTGTCTTTTTTATGGAATTGCAGATCAGTAGGTTTTAAAGATATTAAATACTCACGAGAATAAATAATCCGATTAGAGGTCATATTTGAATAAGATTTAATTATTTAAAATGAAATTGGAAATGAGCAATTGGATGCAATATGATTTGTAATGCATAAGGTATTTGGTAGCCCAAGATTGAAGCGGGCCGCCAAGGTGTCTGGTACTTGCTCTTTGTAAATTTCTGCTTCCTTTTAAGCATTAGTTTCTTGGAATATGCTCTGAAAACCGGATAGAAACCCTTCTTTCTGTCCTTCCAATGTACTTACTGTCGCAGGTGCACGTAAATTTATAAATGCAGTTGGAGGTAACATCAGCAGAGTACGTATCCAATTGTTCCTTTTTATTGATATTTTCTCAACTGTTGGATACTTCTCTTTCTCATCTCTTTCTTTGATGTACTTCAGGATAAACCTTTCGGATACCCTTTTTCTTAAGGCACTTTTCAACGAAGCTTAGTTCTTCTTCTACCTTGTTAGGCGAACAGAACTTCCTGACCTATCGTACAGTGTCCTTACCAATCCCCGCTTATAGCTTGTAGGGCAGAAGCTGTTGTAGTGAAGGTGTTGTCCAGTCCAGGTTTCTTTTCTGAGGCTACCATGGATTTTTACAAGTATATCCATGCTGACCAACCCCATCTCATGAGAATCTTTGTTGCTTCCAAGTAGATACACACAACTGAAGATCATCTGTGTTCAAAATGATTCCGTGTTCTCTTGATATTATGAAATTGAAATAAGCCAAACGGTAGATCAAAGTATTGGTGAGTTTGACTCACTTTATGAACTATTTCCATTGAGACGGAAGATTTTCAACCAAACCAACCAGCAATATATTCAGGTACTGAACAAAATTTGATACGGACAGTTCCATTCTGACACAAATTAACTGGAGAAAGCAAGCAGAAAAGGGACTAGGAGAACACCGAGTGATGTGAAGCATTGATGAAAACAACATCCTAAGGTCTGTAGATACCAAACTCAATTACCATAGTGATCTTCAATATTGTCAGGAACAAGTCGAAAACATTACTCCTGTCAGTTTTCAAGCACAAACTAACTGTCTTTGTTGGTGAAGAGAAGAGTGTTTGTTGTGTGTATTGCAGAACGAC